ATGAATTTGGAGGACATTATGCTGAGTGAAATAAGTCAATCACAAAAGGACAAATATTGTATTAGTCCGTTACTGTAAAAGTTAAGGAAAGATTTATCTATAGAAGGAAATTTTCTTTGTTGGTTACTGGGGGGGAGGGGAGGGAACGCTGTTAGATAGATAGAGATAAGTATTGATTTGGGTGAAGAGAAAGGCAATGTACCAAATGTGAGTAACCAATATGGCAGTATTGAGGATGAGAAAGACATAGACAGGTACATGGGACGTACAGACAACAAAGATGAACCCTTTTGTACATATAGTACTGCATTGTCAGTGAAGGCAAACATGGGTATATGGGTGGATAGGTGGATGGACAAGCTGAATGATTAGGTATGTCTATGATATGGGGAGTGTATCCAAGAACATACATAGGGTTGGCAGACAATGGTCCTATAAGTTTATGTGAATGACCAGAATTCCCAAGTGTATAGTAGAGCTGACAAGGGGCAAGGTTGTGGTCATGGCTTGGTCATAGCCAGCTACCCAGAGGGACCGAGTAGTTGAACCTGTGGGCTTGGGACCATAGTCACAGGGGACATCAACCTCAACTGGTATAACATACTATACAAAACACTGTTCCACCTCCTACTTTGGCGAGTAGCGACTGGGATCTTAAAAGCTAGCAAGCTGCCATCTAGATGCAACGATGGGTCTCTCCTCATCCAGAGCAAAGAAGAATGAAGAAAACCCAAATTCATGGAAACAATTAGTCCTAGCGACTGGTACACCATCTGATCTGTAGCCTATACGACTATTAGACCAGAAGAACTAGATGGTGCCCGGCTACCACTGTTGTCCACTTGGAAGGGGATCTATGTAGGAGATCCTTGATAGAGAGGGAGAACAATGTGGAACAAAACTCAAAATCATTTGGAGAAAAAAAAAAAAAGGTGGGGCCCAGGTTTGCTGGTCCGATAGAGCCTGGTGTAACCACTGAGACTATGGCCCCTAGCTGCCCTTCAGGTCTGGAATTGAACCCACACCTGTGGTTTCCAGCCAAACAAAAGACAGGCATATGAGTTGAACATTTACCTCAAGTAGATACACTCCTTGGAGAGAACAATCATGGGAGAAAGAAGGGCTGCTTATGCACAGGGAGACAGCTCAGAGGGCAGGAGTGTATGGAGGGATGGACACTGGGAAGACGTAACTATGGGGAGGAAGTGGGAGGGGAGCTGTTGCATTGTGGTCAACTGTGGTCAACGTCATGAGACAAAGTATATGTGAACTGCTGTATGGAAAGTGACTTTGCTCTGTAAACCTTCACTTAAAGCCCAATAAAAATAAAATAAATAAATAAAAATAAAAGAGGAAATAAATGGTAACAGTGTCTCTCCATTGTAATCATCAGTTTTACTTCCTAAAAAAAGAGGTGAGAACTGAGCTTCTTCAACTGGGTGTCCTGCCATTATCCTCAATGTTGCTTTATTGTCCCTCATTGTTTCTCAACCCATTAACTGTTACCATTTTTAGCTGCTGCCTCCATTGTAAACCTTGTCCCTCCCTGTTGTTACTGCCTCTAAGGCTGAGCTGGGCTGATGAGCCTATGTATCTTGATGGCAGTGTCTAAAACAGATAGGGGAAGATGAAAGTGCTCAAAAGTGCTCAAATAAAGCTCGGCAGCATATAAGCAACTTTGCATTTCTCGTACTCATCAATAAATCAGTCTGGTGTTTACAAACACCTATTTCCTTCCAAATGTGACTTACCACTCTTGCCAAGAGCCTGACCACTTTTATATCCCATCTTTTGGAGCAAAGCAAACCCTTTGTTTTCACAACCTAGTGCGTTCTTCAACCCCATATCACGTCTTTCTTGTTCTTCTTCTTTTAAAGTCTTCTGCCTATTTTTCAAATTAGATTCTTGTTGCTTTTCTTCTTTTCGACGGGCTTCTCGGATTTGCCTCAGCATTGGCAATCCTGGTCTGATATCTTCCCTGAAGAGTAATAGAAAAGATTATTTAAGACAAATGCATGAAGTTTTCTCATAACTCTGCTACTTACTCACTTGACACTACTTAACATTTCACTGCTACCTCTGTATCTACTTTGCTATCATTACTAATGACAGCAAAGATATGTGAACAGATGGTAGAAATGCTCTAAAATTCAGTAGACTACTTTGTGACAGCAACAAATGTGTCAACACAGTCAAGATAGAGAGGCAGGGAATCAACAGAGAATAAAGAAAGGAAGCTTTAAAAGGCAAGAAGTGAGTCATATTCTGCAGCAATGTCAAAGAGATTAAGAACTGAGAAAATGCCACTGAATGGACAGTATTAGAACATACTCAGCGATACCCTACAATGACTCTTTCAGTAGGATGATGAAGGCTGGTGCCAGAAGGAGGGACTAAAAGAGTATAAAGTTGAAGAAATTACAAGTATTAAGAGCAGACTAATTTTTCCAGGAGGCTGACAATAATAAAGAGCAAAAGCAATTAATAGCTACAAGGAACAATAAGATGAAATAAAGGAAAAGGAGTAAATTTCTTTGGAAGAGGGGAATAAAAAAGATCAAGGGCAGAAGTAAAATGGTTAGCACTAGAAGGAAGGAACCCCTTCCTCCTAGTCCTTTATATGGACACATAGAAGGTATTTCTATAAATCAATAAGGCTAACTTTCCAACCTTACACTTGACATCCTTAACAGTCACATGTCTTATATATATCGCTACATGAGATGTGTATATTAACTTACTGGACATTGATGAAGGAATCAGACATGTAATCCTCCTCTTCTGCCATGTTCAACTTCATATGGCAACAATATCTACAAACCAAGCAAGATAAAGTAACAATTATGTTTTCAGTTTATACCAAAATGGAAATAAACCCTCAGGGTTTATTTACATAAATCTTTACATATACAAGTGTCATTTGGACATCTTTATCTGTAGACATTTTGAACTCAACAATCCAAACAACTCATTATCATTTCCCTAAAGCCTCCTGTAGCCCCTCTATTTCCACATGGTTAATGTTACCACAAGGAGCCTTGGTGGTACACTGGTTAAGCATTTGGCTGCTGCTAAACAAAAGGTTGGTGGTTTGAAGCCACCACCAGCTACTCTGGGGGAGAAAGATGTGGTAGTCTGCTTCCATAAAAGTTACAGTCTTGGAAACCCTATGGGGCAGCTCTACTCTGTCTTACAGGGTCACTGTAAGCTGGAATCAACTCCATGGCAATGGAGTTGGTTTTTTTTTTCCAAATGTCACCACTATCTTCTGCACCCTGACCTCTTATATACCCATCAATTCTTCCTCCCTAATGTCACTCATAGTCATTCATGTTTTGCTCCAGCTGTGGCCACTGCTTTAGTCTAGTTACCTCCCTCTCACCTGAACTATTATCACAGCTTCCTAACTGGTTTCACTCCCTTGGCCTCTCCTCTTCCAACTTACCCTCTCTACACTTCCTCCAGAGTGGTTTTTCTGAAATATAAATCAGGCCATGTTACTCCTGTTTCAAACCCTTTAATAAACCTCACCCTGTAGGTAATGGAGAATCAGTCACTCTAGCACAGTGTGCTAGAAGTGTCCTTCACAATCTAGACTATGGGATAAAGAAGTTCTGTTTATCAGGGTTTCTGAATGGGTAGTATGTGAAGCTGGGCTGCACATGGCTATCCTGTCTACAGAATGAAGGCAGACAATAGATAAATGAACAAAGTAAGCCTCAAAGCAATGAGTCTCCAGTCCTAGTTCTCAGTTCTGATGCCTGTAGCTCTTTCTTTGGTGCTGTGGCCCAGCACCCTTCCCTGCTACATGGGCTTATGTATTTCCTCGTTACTTCAGCTTATTTGAGTAGGGGTTCTGTTAACTACAATCAAAAAAGTATGGACAATTATGCTGGATGAAATAACATCACTGTACCGATCATTAATATTCTTAATGTTTACCTTCCCAATGAGGCTATAAACAACAAAGGCAAGTCCCATATATCCACATTGCCTACCACTGTGTCACAAACTTCATAAATTCTTAAGAAATGTTTAGCTATGATCATGACAAGAAGGCCTTTAATAATATTTGTAATTCTGTAACAATAGGATATTTTTTTTTCTTTGTCACTGGGTCTTATTTTCTAAAAAACATTTTGTAAACATCTCGTAAATATAGAAAAACACGTAAAACAAATGTTTGATAAATCAATATTAGGCAGATACTCTTGCAATCATGTGGCACCCTTCAAGATGGCCCCATATGATTCCTGCCTCTTGGTTTTTATGCCCCCATGTAGTCAGTTCCCCTCCACAGTGAACAGGATTGACCTGTGTAACCAAAAGGCTATGGTAGAAATGATGGAACATGACTTCTGAGGCTTGATAATAAAAGACTTTGAAGCTTTTACTTGGCAGTCTTAGTTAAATTCCTCACTCTGGAGGGAGTCATCTGTCCTGTAGTAAGGACACCCAAGCAGGTCTCTGGAGAAGTACAGATGACAAGGAAACTGAGGGCTCCTGCCAACGCCCAGTACCACCTTGTGAGCCACTTCAATAACCCATTCAGGAAGCAGATCCTCTATCCCTACTCAAGCCTTCGGATAGCTTACCCTGGGTTGGCATCTTCACTGTAACTTTACAAGGAAGTCCAAGCTAAACTAAAGTGCTAACAAATTCCTAACCCAAAGAAACTGTGAGATAATAAATTATTATTGTTAACCTGCTAAATTTTGGAATAATTCATTATTAATAAATAGATAAACGGATGTATTACACATATTAGGAGATAGAGCTGTATCAGCCACCCCAGGAGCCCTCTACATCCATTACCCAACTGTACCTCTCCTTCCATTCAAATAGCAGTCATTATTTCTGTAGTTTATGTCAAGAACTTCCTTCCTTTTCTTAAAAGTTTCATTACTCAGGAGGCGGGGGAAGATGGCGGACTAGGCAGAAGGATTGCAAAGACGCTCTTCAACAAAGAAAAGGGAAACCAATTAACACAGATACAGAAGATAATCTTGGACCACTGAGCCTTGAAGGGAAAGGATGCAGATTTGGACTAAACCCCAAATAGCAGAAGAATTTGCGTGAAAATACCAAAAAAAAGGAGACCTACGGAGCTGTGGTCTGACAGCGAACTGAGTGACCCTGACAATACAGGCGGCTTGGAGATACGCAACTGGTGG